ATCTTGGACCTTATGTTTCAATGCCCCACAATTCTCAGTGGTGTGCCCTGAGCTCCCAATATGATAGCTGCATACGGCGTTAATATCATGACCTTCAGGATATGGGGCCTCTTTAGGTTTGGATTGAACTAGAGTCACAAGATTTTTCTCAACTAGCGTTGAGAGTAACTCCTCATATGTCATTGGGATTGGACTGATGCAAATCTTTTCTTTCCTTGGTCCTCTCTGAGTTTGTTTAGAAGTACTAGACGGTACAACTGCAACAGTTTTTGGACTTGAGACCGTAACACCTTTGTTGGCGTTGTAGGTACTGACATTGTTGATATCTCCCTCAATTCTTCCTTGTTTTATAGCTAGCTCGATCATCTCACCAGCCATAACTAGATCTGAGAAAGTTCCCGATGTAATTGCCACCAGGTGCCCGAAGTAAGGTGCCTTCAGGGTTTGTACGAACAATTTTCTAGTTTTTTTTTCATCCAGGGGTGGATGAACCTGCACAGACAAATCCCTCCATCGTTGCGCATATTGTCGGAAACTCTCATTATGCTTCTTTTCCAGGCTTTGCAGCATAACCCGGCCTGGTCTCATATCGTTGATATGCTTATATTGTTCTAGGAAAGACTTGGCTAAGTCTTTCCATGTCTTGATGTGAGTTTGGCTGAGCTGATTATACCAGCGGATAGCTGAACCGGATAGGCTCTCCTGAAAGCAGTGGATCAGGAGTTGATCATTCCCTCCAAATCCTGTCATCCATCGAACTTCTCAAACTCAGGAGCTTTAAACTTTGGTGGAAGCACCAAATCTGGAACCAGGCTTAGCTCCCTTGCGTCCACTCCATAATAATCATGGTCCCCTTGGACTATCTTCATTCGATCTTCTATCATCCTGATCTTCTCTTCCATCTTTTTCGCTTTGTCATCTTCATTAAAATCCGGGATACTGTAATTATCCGGATGATTATCAGGATTAGTTTTGGAAGTTTGCACCTTTACAGTAGATGGTTACCCTTTCGAAGGGACTTCCCCCTTCTGCACTAACTTGCTGTAAACATGATAACTTGGCCACTATTTGGTCGACCAAGGATTCCTGGTTTTTCTTGATGGATTCCAGAGTGCTCTGACTGTTTTGAGCCATCTTATCTTCCAGTTCTTTTTGTAGTCTTGCCATGTTCTCATCGAGTTTTTCCATTCTGGCCTCCATTTGTCTTTTCTTTGCTCGGTATTATGCGGATGATGTGTATTTAATGTCTGTAGTGGTAGACTTGGTGTTTTTTCTTTCGCTTTCTAAGATATGTTCTGTTTGTTAATACGAATGTAAAAACATGGAAAATATAGAAATAAACATGAGATATAGAATGCAAAATATGCAATGCATGATGTATGCAGCTTAGAGGCACTGATCCAGAAAAAGTGTTCATTATTATAAATAATTTTTATTCAGACAAAAATATCTTATCTTGTAAGAGACATAAAAACAATCAAAGGTACACTCGGATTAAATCCTCTAAACCCCGAATAGCTTCTAGTAGATTGACAAGTCTTCTGCCTTCATCCGTTACTGGTTGAATACCTTGTCGAACCACTCCGGCTTCCCTTGCCAGGCCATGAAGATGACGGGCTGCCTTCTGTACTTGATCTAGGAAGTCTCGGATGGCTGCGTCTCTGGCCAGTGTACTTTTGAAAGGCTGACTTTTGGTGTGCTTAACGTAGACTCGCCCTAGTTTGATGTTTTCACAGTGTAGCAGTGTGGTGTATTCTTCGATAGTAGGTACCATGTCCTCCCAGTTAAAAGTAAAACAACTGTATCCCGTGTTTCAGAATTGGACAATGGCTCTAATCAAGGGCTCATCAATCCTAACGTGAAGTAAAAGTGCAATGTCACCGTACCGTTGGCTGAACTTCTGTTTCCGATCATTCTTCTAACTGTCCCAGATATCTCGAAGCTCTTGCACATTATTCTATTTTAGGCTGATAGATGCGTAGCTAACCAGCTCTGACACATAGCTTTCTTGAAGGTTGTCTCCCTTTTCTTTCTGAGTCTTCTCGGACCATAGTCGTACCTCGGGGTTCTTAGTCTCTTGTATTACAACACCTTTGTCCATTAATTCAGATTATTTTGTGTAATAAACACCTTTTCAGGGATCAGTAACCTCTTGTTATGATGCAAAATGCTCTAAAACAAACACAAACAGGGATCAGTAACCTCTTGTTATGATGCAAAATGCTCTAAAACAAACACAAAGGCAAAAAGGTTAGTAAAATAATATAAAAAAAACATAAAAACAACAAAAAAATGTCATAGGTTTCAGAATATGGTTTCGGGGTAGGCATAGTCTCCCGGGTTAGGTTCTAAAAAACGGTACCCGAGTTCTCCTTGCCGGTGCCCCATTGGGCTTGCCAGACCCTTAGTCCTAAACCCATCACAGGCTTATGTGGACTAAGTTAAACTCGGGAGGATACATTCCCTTATGCCCATACGGAGAATAAATTCTCACGAAGGCATAAGGTATATGAATCCCGAAGGTTACTTGCTAGGCCCATACGGAGAATAAATTCACACGAAGGCGTCGCTTTCACCCCCACTTAAATAGGGTTTGGAGCTCGGGTATAGAGCCTTTAGATGAAAAAGTTTAGAAAGCTGAAATCATTAGAAAACAGTCAGTACAACTATTTACTCGAAAATGTAATTAAAAGTAAGTAATAAGGATCGAAAAATTACCTTAAAATTCAAACTTACCCTTTTCGTTAAAAAGACAACTGAAAATTACCTTAGCCTGACTCACTTACCTGTCCCCAACGGAGTCGCCAAGCTGTCGTAACCGTCTTTCGGTTGGGCCCCGGAATTGGGCTTCGACTTGAAAAATGTGATTGGAGTCGCCACCGATTATTTATTTAAAAAATAAATAGGTTAATCGGATACCTTATATCTTACCTGATCTGCGTCTTACCAAAGATATGTCGGATTCGGGAGTCGATTACGGTCAAGGAAGGATTAGCACCCTTGAACCGCCCTTTCGGTACTACGTAATTTGCCGGTTGTCTTAAATTAAGAAAATTGTAATTTAAAATTAAAAGGTAAAAATATGATCACAATTACTTACCTTAGATAGTTTTAAAGGTGTGGCCTTAAAAAGGTCAAAAAACCATGTTAGATAAAAAGGTAATAGATAAAAAGGTAAGAAATAAATAAATTAATTAAATTAAAATAAAGAGAAAACAAATTAAATAAAAGATAAGATAAAGAAAACAAAGATAAAATAGTAAGTAAAATAAATATAAAAAATAAAGAAAAAGAAGAAAAAAATATAGAAATAAAACAAATAAATAAAAAAAGTAAAAATAATATATATATATATATATAATAAAAAAATAAAAAAAGTAAATATATATATATAAATTAATAAAACTGATAATAAAAATAATATATTTATATATATAATCTAAAATAAAAATAAAAATATATACTAAAGTAAAAAAGAAAATACATAAAATGTAAAAAAAATATTACATGAAAAAAAAATAACAAAACAATTAAATAAAATGAGTAACAAGGGAAATGTGCTTATAAATAAAGTTAAATAAATAAAATAATAATAATTAAAACGTAAATGTAAGAGACCAAATCAAAAGTAAAAAAGATACTACCTTTTATTTATTTTTCGAATCGTTTACAATAGCTTTGCCTTTGTATCTTCTCGTGCTTTCCTCTATGTTTTGTGTGTAAATCGTGTCTTACAATGGTGAGTTACAATGGCTATTTATAGTGCTTGTGGATCTTATCTTTAGGAGTTTAAATCATAAAATTCTATCCTATTTTTTGAATCCTAGCAAAATTCTATCATATCTTTAGGAGTTTGAATCCTAAAATTCTATTCTATTTTTAGGAGTTTGAATCCTAGTGGGACGAAAAATGTGTGTTGACACATATGTCTTTTTATTTTTATATTGTCGAAGTGTTATGAGGGAAGATAACATCCCGTAAAATAAAAATATTAAAAAAATAAGGGTAAAATACACAAATGATTCTCCAACTATAGGGTATTACTTTATTAAGTCATTCGATTATTAAAAGTTATAAAATGATTATCTGGCTATATAATGGTGTTTTGTTAAATACTTTGACTATTAAAAATTACAAAATGGTCACTCGGCTATTCATTATGTTCCAAATTCTCCATTTTCTGTTAAAAAAATGGCAGTCGTCTAAGCTGGACGTTAATATGATTAATGAGATATGATAGTCATAGGAGATTCTGAGATCAAATTTTATCATATCACAGTTAACAAGTTAACGTTAAGCTTAGAATACCATTACTTTTTTAACAGAAAAAGGAAGAGTTTGTCGGGTGACCATCTTGTAACTTTTAATAGTCGAATGACTCAACAAAATAGTACTCTATAGTCAAAGGATCATTTTGTAACTTTTAATAATAGATGAACTCACTAAAGCAACACTCTATAATCGGGGTACGATTTTTGTATTTCACCCTAAAAATAAATAAACAAAATTACATATAAATAAGAGAAAAATATTATAAGATCAAAACTACAATGGTTTGTGCTTATATTACACTATATCTTTCCTAATAAAATTTTTATATTCGATCAAAAGTTAATAGAAAAAAAAATACAGTCTTATACAGATTAAGCGTACAACAAAAATTGTATTATAGATCATATTTAAATAAAATTTAAATGGTTGACCATTGTTCCCATATGTAATGGGGTAAGGGGGAGATAAGATAGTAGGCTGCCCCCAACACCAGGTTGAGAGCAGCTTCCGTAGGAGACATCCGAATTAAATCATAAACTTTAATACAAAATGTATTTAATCGTATAAATGATAGTAGGTTTTTAAGGTACGACGACAAATAATACATATCTATACAAATACAATAAAGTCGTGTATATCGATAAGATGGAGTATAGGATTTAGTGCTAGCCATCACTTAATTTCATTAATAGACGAGGATTACTAGTACAAACAATAATAGTAGTAGTGATAATGTAATATTACGTTGATTAAAGTTGGACGCTTGATCTCACTGTTTCAGTTCCCTTCTCTTTACCATGACATTGAGACCGCCGGCCATATGGCCGGTCAAGAGAGGAACAAAAACGGGCTGATCCCCGTTCACCGGTCTGATCTGGAACCGTTTCAGAATTGAAGCCGCCACGTACTTCATCTGAATGAACGCCATTTCTTTCCCAAGGCAAACCCTTGGACCGGCCTGAAAAACCGGGAACTTGAAAGGGCTGACCGGATTTAAAAACCCGTTTTCGGCACTCGGTTCTTGGAACCACCGGTCCGGTTTAAACTCGAACCTGTCGTCCCCCCACAACGCCTTCATCCTCCCCATTCCGTAGGGGAAATACGTTACCCTGTCTCCTTTCCCGACGAGAGTCCCGTCGGGCAAAACGTCGTCGTTTAAGGCGTGCTTGGAGTCCCATGCAACCGGAGGGTAAAGCCGCATCGACTCGCAGATGCAGGCCTTGACGCAGTTCATTTCCTTTAACGTTTCGAAATCGAATCCGTTTCCTCCATTACTGTTAACCATCGATTCCACTTCTTTTACCATCATTTTCTCGGCGTTTTGATGCTTCGAGAGGAGCCAGAACAGCCACGTCATGGCGGAGGAAGTGGTGTCTCTTCCGGCGATTATGAAGCTAATCACCATATCCCTCACGACTTCCTCTTCGTGGCCAGCGGATAACAGCCTCGTCAGGAGGTCTTCACCGCCGACAACGGCGCCGCTTTTGGTTTTAGCTTCTTCGAGTGCCTTCTTTTTGTTCCGAATGATCTCCAAAACACAGCCGTGAACGAGCTCGATCGCTTCCTTGAGTTTCTTTTCCGATCCGACGTTAAGTGCTCTCTTTAATTTCCACACCACGAACATGGGCGCCATTCCCCGCATGGCGGATACCTCCGACGCCGTATCGAACGCCGTAACGAGCGGCGGCACCGGTTTCGAAAGATCCAAGCAACAAGGGTCGTAACCCAATGATACTTTACACACACTGTCGAAAGCGAATCTTCTAAACACGTCCTGCAAATCAAGAACTTCCTCCGTTTCCATCGCCGATTCAAGCAACGGTACGAGCCGACCGTCGACTTCTTCCCGGAGCGTTTTCACGAGGAATTCTCTCAAAGACTTAGTGCTAAACTCATGGCTGGCGAGCTTCCTTTGAGTGCTCCACAGCTCCCCATCTACGTTAAATATCCCACAGCCGAGAAGATCGCCGAGGATTTCAGTAAAAGGCTTCCCTTTGGGGAAATTCTTGAAGTTGGTCTTGAGTATGTGTTCGACATTATCCGGGTTAGCAGTGACGACCGTACGCCGTGCACCGAGCCGCCTCACTACGACGGTCTGGCGAGGCGACTCCGACAAAAGATCGGTGTACCAATCCAACAGACGGCGGCGGTTCTTGTAAAAAGAGATTAAACAGCCGAGAACCGGATAAGAAGGAGGCCCCCCATTGGAAGCTAAAACCGAGTTCTTGGCCATAAAAGACTGCAGAAATCCTTGCATGAAAGACGAAATGAAATTGCAGGACAAGAAAAACCCAATCACAAATCCCAACAAGAAACTGACAACCATGACTACAAATTATACAAGCAAGAACAAACAAATCTATATACTTGTTTTTGTTGAGAAGATGAAATGATCGCTACAAGTAGCTTAGGGCTGATTTCTGGGGGGTGGCAACATGTAGCGTTATTTATATAGATATTGAAGAGTGGAGACCGACCAGAAAAGCAACACTTAGTTAATTAGGGTTTAGGGTTTGGGACGAATAGGGACAAATGGTCGCACGCATCACGTGGTTTGTTTTCGGAGATCACGTCGACTTGATATGTAGATAGAAGAAGCATCTACTTTATGTAACATTGAGCAAAGGTTGTTATGATGGGATAAAATAATTGAAATATTATTTAAATTATTTGTTATTCAAATTATTGTGGTACTGAAGAAATAGAAATTTCTTATTTTCTTGAAACTTATCCACTCGCGGTAGGTAACTGAGATTTTTTTCTAATTAGATTTTGTAAATATTTATTATGAGGTCGACCCCTAATTCAGTTTACTCTATTAAATTTGTAATTAAATTTGCGTTACCAGTTAATTTAAATATTAACTCAATTAAAAAATTATTAAAATTTAAACAAAAACTACCGTGCATTTATCCTAGATTTATATAAAAAATCACTAAAAATTCATTACTTTAAAGTGTAGTAAATGTTAGGGTAAACTATTTAATATCTTTTTCGTTCTCGTTTTATATTTTAATCATCTAACTATTTATTTAATAAAATCATGTCTAATGTTATATTTTATTTCTATTTCGATCACCGTTTGTTAACTCATCATCAAAATCTAATGAATATATATAATGACATAAAATTGTATAATAAAAGTCTTAATCCTAAAACTTGTACTACATTTAAATAAATAGGTTATAGTTTAAATTAATTCACTAAATTTAATTACATAATTTTTAAATTTTACATTTTCCTTCACAGTTTCTCAATGCAAGAAAAGGTAGATAGATCATACTACACCGACGAGATAATACTGCCCGATGGTGGCTTGGAAATAAGGGAAATCGTAATATTGTGACATGTCTTTATCTTCATTAAATTTCAACAGAAATATAATAATCGATGATTAAAATATAATTAAAATGTAATATTAGATATAGATTAAAATATAAATAAAATGTAATATTAGATATAGTTTTATTAAAATAAACAGTTAAGTGACTTAAACATATATGTTATTTATCTAAAAACTATTATGGGTTTATTTACTTATTTAATACTTTTACCTACAAAATCTAAAAAAAAAGTAATTAAAATTCAACATTTGATTATTGAATTTGTATACAGATATTTTACTGCTCTAACAATAATTATTCATTCATTTTTTATTATATAGAATTAACTAATTTTATTCAAAATATGAAATATTACAACACAATCGTAAATTAAGTACATAATTAGGAAAAAAATATATAATCATTGAAACAAAACTAGCAATTTAAGATCACATAAAGACCATACAATAAAAGATTAAATCTAAACAATAAACTCGAACAAATATAGATACAATCGTATGGACAAACGAACCATAAAAGGGGTCAAGCTACTGAAAGACCAATCGTAAATCAGTCTCGAACGAAATGAAAAGTTATACACGAACGCAAATCGGGTTGTAGCGAAGATCAACAATATATCAAATAAGTGACATCTTGATCAGTTGTAACGATGTCAAATCAATCTTTAGAAAAAAGATAAATAAATAAGTGACCAAAAACCGAAAAATATGCCAAAAAATCATAAGAAATAGAGATGAAAAAAAAAAGAGATGAGTGACACATATTCATAATCTTTTACCTAAAATATTTTAGTCCTAAACATCAAAGAAACAAACTTTTACTATTTTACATGTTTTTAAAAAAAAAAAATTATTTTGGTCGACAAACATATCTGCATACCACAGCCAGATAGTTTTGTCGCTTTTGACATTTAATAAACATGTTTTGTTCTCAAAATCACGCCGAAATTCCCTTTTGTGAATTATTTAATCATTTTTCATTAAAAATAAATTCTATAGCATGACTAGTGTGGAAAACCTAAACCTTTATAAGATAGATATATATAACATTGTTATACATAGATTTATTTAATTAAATTAATATCATAAATTAATTAAAATATTAATAAATAATTTAAAAATATTTTTCAAATATACTTTTATAAAATAATATATTCACTAAATGCATCACGGCAACAAATCAAATTATCAATTACTACCTCCGATTTCAATATAAAAATATGGGTAACTATAAATTCCATCACTTAAATCTACTATTTCTCCTATTTTGATCGTTGAACTTTAAAAGTTTCTAATTTCCTCGCTGAACTTAATACATCGATTTTTTTGTCATGTTCACTAAATTTTACTCTCTTTTCTATTTTAGTCACTTTATCGACGTTAAAAACTACATCGTTTTAAAAAATAAAATTTTTAATATAACAACCCAATTTAACGATGCTAACTGTTTAACATACGAGTGACCAAAAAATCCATTGTATTAAATTCAATGAAAAAATTGAAAAAAAATTAAAGTACAATTAATGATGGGAGAGAGAATGAAATTCAACTACTAAATTTGTAATTTATCCTAAAATTATTAATAAACAATATGTTGAGTTCCCTTAAAAATACAATAATATAAATATAAAACCCGTGAAGAAAATATGTTTCACCAAAATCTAAAGTAAAGACGAGATTTTGAGTGGTCGGATATTTCTAATGTAATGTAGAATTAGTCTACACGTGCTGACTTATGAGGCGAAGATTTCAAAGAGCATGTGGGAGTTAAAAAGCACGTGGTTTTCCGAACAGTGGGGAACCCGTTAGATCTCGACATGAGCACATTGTCATTTAAATAAATGCTGACATCATTCGTTCAATCACCGCAATTACTGCTGCGCCCCTCGCCTTATCTACACGTGTTAAATATTCCGATTTAATTTTCGTTCAAAAGATATTCCAATTTGATATTTTATGGTGATTAGTTTTGGTTTTGTTGTTGTTAAAGTACTCAAATGTGTAACTTAAAATATAATATTTTATAATAAATTACGTATTTAGTATTTAAATTATCAGTTTTTATTCATTTTAATACCTAAACTTTTATTTTTTTTTCAAAATCATGTCTAACGTTTAGTTTTTGTTTCATTTTAGTACCAATCGCAAAAAACTTAACGCATTTAGTACCTAAACTATCAATTTTGATTCATTTTAGTACATAAACTTTTATTTTTTTTTAAAACTTAACGTTAAATTTTGAACAAAGATACTAAAATGAAACAAAAATTAAATTTTAAATATAGTTTTAAAAAAATAATATTTTATGCTAAAGTTTAGGAACTAAAATAGGTCAAAACTAATCGTTTATATACTAAACACGTAATTTACCCAATATTTTATGCTAACGAGACATTGACACACTTGATAAAGACAGAGTCTTGGTTCTCTAGCATTTGAGCTTGAGGTTTACTCACATAAATTGTTTTTGAACTTTCTAATTATTGATTTAATTATTCATAACATTACTTGTAAAGAATAAAGATTAATGCAATTTTGAATTTGTTTGTTTCATTATAAATATGGAATATAAAAAATATTAATTTCACTTTTTAAAATATTATATTAATTTAATTAATGTTATTATTATTACTTAAATATTATTTTTTACTAATTTATAAGTAAAATATTAAGATTAGTATATCGTATTGTATTATTAAATATATTAATATACATATTATAAATATATATTTTAAATAATTATAAGATAATATCTATTAAAAATTTGGGTAAATTACACAAATGGTCTTCTAACTATAGGATATTACTTTGTTAAGTCTATCAATTATTAGAACTTACAATGATCCTCTGACTATATAATATTATTTTTTTGGATCCCTTGACTATTTAAAGTTACAAAATAGTCATCCTACTATACATTATGTTCCAAAGCCATCATTTTTCGTTAAAAATTTGAGGGTTGTCTAAGTTGAAAGTTAACATGATAACTAAGATATGAGAGTCGTTTGAGATTTTGGGATTAGATTTTATCATATCACAATTATCAAGTTAACGTTCAACTCAGAATATCATCAATTTTTAACAAAAAAATGACGAGTTTGAAACATAATGAATAGTCAGATGACTATTTTATAGCTTTTAACAGTCAAGAGTCTCAAGAAAATAATATTCTATAATCAAAAGACTTTTTTGTAATTTTTAATTTTTGAGGCCCTCGAGGGACTTAATAAAATAATATCTTATAATTGAGGGACCATTTATATAATTTAACCGAACAATTTTTAACTTAATAACAACTCACATTAACATTCATCATGTAAATACAACTGCTGAAATTCAATTTTTCTAATAAAATGTATTTTTTTCATATCAATCAAATATAAGAAAATGAACAATATATTTGGATTATAAATCAAAAAAGGAATTTATTTCAAGTGAATTCCGATGTGGTGATCGTGTCGCGTTTAAAACCTGTTACCTGTCAGTGTCCATACCGGAATCACTGCATGCCTCCTAAATTAGATCAATGATATGCGCCGTTGTATTTTTGGCTGCAGCCGAAACCAGGACCGCGCCGCAATAAAAACAGTACTTAACTAGAGCCGTCTCCAAAAGGGAGATAGATAGGGGCGATCCTGTCCGATAGTGACCATCGGCTTCCTTCTGGCCTCGCATCATTCTTTTGGGATGTTGTAGGGACCTTGCACCGTCCACTCACCCAATCACCGATCGACATCTTCTTTCCAGTTTTGTCTCATTTCTCTTAATTTCAAACCAAATACTTTTACCCCATCTCCACAGTGGTCCCGGACTTTTACTTCAAACTTCAACTCCATACAACTTGATGTTTGTTTCTGAGATGAACCATTGACGCATTTCAAACGAGCAATCGGTTCATCCTGCACAGTTCGATGTCATTAAATGGGTCCAGAATTTAATAGTGATTAGCTCAGCGTGTAAGGAACTATAATCTATGTTATTCAGATATAAGTTTCATTCAATTCTACCCATGTATTAGGAGGGTCTTCTGAGAGTAATATCCCCATATCCATTATTCAATAAATCATCAGATATGGATATTTTAAGAAAAAGATGTGTCGTAACCGTTTTTCGTCCGAGTACAAATTTTTTATTTTAGCGGGAAAAGTGATGTGAATAAATGTTTTTAAAATGATTTGGGAGTCGCCATCGATCTTTTGGGTCATGTAGGTCGAATACCTAAAAATTATCTTTTAAAAGAGCTTTTAAGAAAACATCGATTAAAAGATAAACTGATATGCGTTTTAACCAAAAATTCGTTCTTTTTAATAATAAAAAGGGATTCGTGGTCGGTTACGTTTAGGGAAGGATTAGTACCCCTACAATGCCCAAAATTGGTACTTTATTAATTGTAAATTGTCTCTATTATTAGAAATTTAAAAATTCGAAGATATATTTAATTTATAATCCTATTTAATTTAAATTTGTTACTATAATTTTAAGAAATTTTTTTAATTTATATATATAAATAAGATATTTATTTAAAAATATCAGAAAATGGCTTATAGGTGCTTTAAGACAGCTCTTTCCTTTGATATTAAAAAAATAAATAAATATTAAAACATTTATCTAATAATAAAAAAATAGATTAATATATACAATTTTATAAAAGTAAAATATTTATTTATTAAAAAATATCAGAAAACGGACATCTAGTTGCTTTAAGACTGCCACTTTCTTTGATATTAAAAAATAAATAAATACTATTATAAATTTTACATAAAATTAATCAAATAATATATATTAATATGATTAAAATAATAATAATAATTACTAATTTAAATATATAACAATAAAATTACAATGTAATAAAAACAAATAAAATTAAAATTATATGATCAAAATATAAAGTATTGAAAATAAAAGATCAAATTCGAAATATTAAGAAATCTATATCCTAATAGTTTAATTTAACCTTAATTATTTATTCAGGGCTAAAATAAAATTTATAAAATTATAGGGGACTGAAATGAATATTTACCCTAATATATATAAACACTGGAAAGGACTAAAACATAATAAAATAATATTGGAAGACAAAATTAAAATATCCAGAAAAACAATTCTGGTGACTAAATTGAAAAGGTTACAAACTTGGATGACTGCGCGTATGGTTTGGCCATGCGCGAAATTACAGATATACCCCTCCCAAAACGGCGTCGTTTGGGAAGGGGTATTTATACCCGAAACGGCTGGCCCGGAGGGCCAACTCTCTCATTTATCTCATTTCTCTTTTCTCTCAAAAATAAGAGAGACAGAGTTCTCTCTGTCTTCTCTCTAAAACGAGAGAACACAGTCCCGGTCAGCCACCGCTGCCGGGCTCCGACCACCGCTGTCGGCCACCGTTAACGGTGGCCGAAAAATTCTAAAATACACCAAAATATAAATCGGGACGATCTAAAACCGATACCAGTGTTCTTTTTCCCTAAAAAGCTCCCAATCGGAGCAAATCTACGAAAGTACCTTCGGTTTTCGAAGGTTTTTGGTGACGCTTGGAGGCCAGTGGTGACTCTGATTGAGGTGTTATCTTCCTCGGTAAGTTTCTCTTGCTCTTCTCTTTTTGTTTTGTTGTTTGCTTTGTGGTTTGTTGGTGTTTTGCTTCAATTTTTGGTCTCTTGCTCTCCGTCTTTGCTTGCTGTGGCCTCCTTTTTTTTTGCAAGATTCGATGGCTTTTATAGCCACCACAGAGTTCTGTTTGGACCGGTCCTGAGAGGGAAACCTCGGTGAGTCACCAAAGCTAGGCTGGTGACTCACCGTAGGGATGGTTGTTGGTTGCCATCTGGCATTCTGGAGTGTTCCTTGAGGCGGCGGCATGGCAACAAGGCGTCGGCAGCAGTTGGTTGGACCATCTGGCTTGGGAAGTGTCGGCAGAGGCGGCTGTTGGGAGTTATTGGAGGCGGCGACAGCAGTGCTAGGGTTTAGAAACCCTAGTTGAAACCCCAAATGTTTAGGGTTTTATTTTGGTACGGGCCAACAGTAAACGGGCCTTTTAAATGGGTTTAGGGTTTTGTAATATTTAATTTAATAATATTAATAATATATATATATAATAATAATAATAATAATAATAATAATAATTTTAAAAATAATAATTTAAATAATTTAAGTAAAAGGAAAAATTAGTGTTACAAGATGAATAATCAGAACATAAGCACGTGGTGTCATTGTGCCAATGCGTCTAAAATGCAAAAGAATCACCACGGAGATATCTATTCTTGGATCATTAAATATGGCCAACCACCCAGAGCATTTAAAATAAAAAGGCATTTTAAAATGGCATCCAAGAAAGCTTTCAAGAGAACATGCCTTCTTCCCCCTGGGAGAGAGTCCTCTTTCCCTAAGAAAGGCACGGACCCTCTCTACAGTTAAACTATGGTACTCAGCTGCACGATTGCTTTATCCCTCTGCAAGTTTTTAAGTTGTTAGAGGAACTCGAGATATATTTCTCCGAATAATAAAGCCACAATTGGTTGAGACAATTTTAACAAGATAAATCATATCAACGCCAAAGGACAATGTGAAAATGGAATGGTTTCAATTGCATTACATGCCAATTTATTAACTAGAACATGGAAAATCATCACTAGAGATCAACCAGAGCAAAAGAAATTTGAAATCTATAACAATAATCGGACAATTTAATCCATAACGTCATATTTTGCTTATTTTACTAATCGAAGAAATTTCATAAATTCAATTGTACAAAAAAATAGCAGCTACAAATGACTGCAGTGACACTCTAATTTCCTGTCATTTTTTATCCCATGTATGGAATCATGCTCATGAATACATACATAAGGAGTAAGGATTAATACAAAACATATTGTTGACTGACCTGAGCGAGGAGTACCTTGTGTTTTGGCTTTCTTTGCAGAAGCCCTGCTATCCATCAGCAGCCCTGCAGGAAAAAGATTGGCAAGCATCATAAAATCTACCCTAGTTATCTGGTATTATTGGATGCAATAAGATGAGTGCAATAACACATGATATAATCCATGCATTTTGCTAGAAACAGCAGGCTACACAAAGTTACAAAATAAATCTTGATGTACCAAATGAGGGTTAACAGTGAATCATAAAAAAACTAATATTAACACATGGAATAACTATAAACAAGAAATTGAACATCATTTACCCAAGGCAGATAAAATCCATACCTCTTTCTAGGACCCTCAGCTACAGCTTTCACAACCTTTGAACAAGAATCACCATTCTTATCATTAAGCATGAGTGATCTAATAAGTATTTTCTGCTGGTTTGTCTGTATCTGCTGGCTCCTAGAGATAGAAGAGAAAATAAGATTATCTAGTTTGTTAATAAGAATAAATCTCAAAACTATTTCTTGCAACAACAGAGATCTTGAGAATAAACAAGATAATGCATGGATATTAAAATTATAAACAAGACAATTACAAAATACAAATAGAAACAAATGGGCACTTTAATCACCATCCAATACTGAAGATTGTTTCATACACTCAATGTGACCTAAGTAGCAGTAGATAAGAAATATTCAGGGCGTCAAATTAATATCCTTTAGATGCATTATAAATTCCATATATGCTTTGAATTACAAACTCCCAAACTGTTGCAATGTGTATGAGTTCCATGTCTTAAATTTGTAATGAATTACTCTCTTTTCTGCTAACTGTTTCACTTGATAGGTGTTTCAAGCCTTCAACAGTACATGTTGATTATAACTTAGTGAAACAAGACAAGTAACCCATAAAAAAAGGTGGCAATGATCCAGCAGATGTAAACCAGTCACCAGAATGCAATTAAGTGCAGTCAGCCTTACAAGTTGATTTTTCAACAATGGAATAGCAGTAATTAATGGTTCTTAAGTGGAAAAGGCAGAGATTGAGTGGAATGGTAATGCATATATTTAAATATTTAAATTAAAATAGAAATTATTTGCACTCTCTCAAAACATAAAGAAATCCTCAAGAAGTTGAAGTTTACAGCAACCTGGCGGAGAAGTGTCGTTCTCACAAATATAAACTCGCATCCCCCCCTGCAAAAGGTTTGCAATATAAGCAACATTTTGTAGAAAATTATATGCTCCAGATAAAAGGAACAAATTATTCATTGGCAAGACTGGAAAAATAATTCAGTTCAATATACAAAAGCAGGAAAAAAAATATGCCAAGAAATAAAACTAAATGGAAATAACTATATTAGTTAAATAGGTGATTGCAATAAATCAAACAAGACAGCCACCCAGTTTCCCTTTTACTAAGCTGATTCATTCTAACCAAATGAGAAACTGCATCCCTAGAAGAAATGCATAGTATACGACTGGAATTGAAATACAGATTTTACATTTTTATATTTTTCGAAGAGACTCCATGAAAGAAACAGAGGGGCATACTTAAAAAGGTGCCAAAAACATAGCAGGGGATAGGAAAGAAGCCAAATGGATATAATCTTCCATAGTCTTAATTGCATGACATCTTCTAGTGGCAAGACATGGTTAAGGTAATCGGAAAGGAAAATGGTACAGCGAAACAGACAGATAACTAAAGAAACCACTATTTGAGAAGTATTCATGATCTACTGAAATACAAAACACGTGGAAATGACTCAATTTTGAAGAGTAAAGCAGAGTACATTGAGAAACAAAAGACCACTACATGTCCAAAATCCTAAAACCACTGCAAAGCATAAGAATTCTCAAGGTGTAACTGGCTACATCCTAAACCCACATAACTTGCACATGGCAAAAAGAATCAAAAGTGAATGAATAAAGGCTATGCTACATCAAAAGATATGTGCAAATGGAAACATTCTTATAAAAATGCTAAATCAGGTTCGTATTTGGTCAGTAAAATCAAGTGTTTGGCAGCCAAAGATGCAGGAATTCATTCCAAGTTGAAAATAAGACCCCCTAAAATAGCTTGACCAGGGACAGCCCAAAATACTAATCCCAAAGAGATCATATTTCAAAATATATCTCTACATACAAATTCTGATTCTGTATGAAAATGGTGTATTTCACTACTAAAGAATTCTTCATTAGCTCAAATAACAAATTTCTCTCCACTTTCCAAGTCAAATTTCCCACTGCAAAAGCAGCAAAACCCTACCAAACCATCCACCAGACATAAATTTAATCACATTTGACACATTAATCAATACATCCTAAAACCTCGAATCAGAATCATAAATAATTTTCCTCGCAGCTAAAATTAAACGAATCCTAAGCTAATATCATAATTATTTTCTTTTTCAGTGTGAATTCAGTAAAACTTCTTTATTTCCACAAACAGTTCAAGACTTCATTCAATTGTCACACTTTATACACGACGAATGGACAAAAATAAAGTTATAATAACAATAATAAGAAATTAAATTAATTAAACAAATAAGAGAATGAAAAACGCAACCAGATTGGAGGATATGACCGTGGAGGAGAGGTGGCCGCGAGAAGAGAGATTGAAGAGGAACTTGGAAGCGCCGGAAGGCGGTTTATCAGAATGTAAGTGTTGAGAAGAGGAGCCCTCCATTGGCCTTTACAATAACCCTCACCCCAAACTTTTTTTCAAGTTGAAAACTTTTTTTTTAAATCAAGTTGAAAACTAAAAGTGTAAACTACGTAAATGATCATTAATATTTGGGTTAGTGTTCGTTTTCACCATTATTGTTTTAAAAGTCACAAATCAATCACTAACGTTATCGTTTATTATAAATCGATCCCTCTACGTTAACGGCCATAATGGAAATCACTGCTGGACCGGTATCTGCTAACTTGGATTGTCACTTCTTCTTCTCCTTATTCTTCTTCTCTTGTCTGTCTGTTTCTAAAAAACAACACTGTGTTATTTCATTCTGAAACATTGTTTTGAAGAAAATGTCTATTAATCAAATAACACTAAAAGGACTGAAACATTGTTTTCATCTTCCTCTAAAAACCCAAAAGATTTAGAGGTTTATGGCTCAAAATGGTGAGGAAAAAGTGGGAAATTGATTAAATTTATCCCCCCACAAAAAAACCCTAATTCTTACATTTGTAGGGAAACATAGATCGGAATTTTATCAATAGCTAATAAAGCAAACAGATATTCCTCAATAGCTAATAAAGCTTCTTCTTTTTTTTTTAGATTTCATGTGGTCTTTCCCTTGAATTTTCATCAGCATTGATCAAAAACAAAATCATTTCTGTTATGAGAACCAACAATGAGTCGACCTCCGGCGTCCATAACTCACAACAGAAAAAAGAACAGCCCGACTCAGTAAAACTCGGCCTCTTTCTTCATCAAATGATCACATGAAAACACAAACGCCGCTGTAATGCAAAAGTGTAGCCTTTGAAGGAAGAATACCGATCTAAAAATATATAATCAAATGGAAAAGGGGAAAGAACAAAGGAGAAAATCAGTGCGCGTTTTAGGACTGAGAAGCATGACGAAAGTGTGGTGAGTAAACATGAAGTTTACCCCAAGACTTATTACAATTTGAAAATATATAAATTTATTAGATCTTCAATTTAATTTTTAAATAATATAATTTTATTTGTCAAATATTTAAGTTTCTAAAAGTTTAAATTGTCACTAAACCAAAAAAAAAAAATTTAAAAACATACGTCATTTCCATCCCTTTAATTTCGTCACTAATATTAGGGTAAATTACAAGTTTAGTAGCTGAATTATAAGTTTTGATCTATTTTAATATCAAAACTTTCAATTTTTCCAAAGCATACTTAAAATTTACTTTTTATTTTAATTTAATACACTGTCGTTAAGAATTTTAGTTTTTATTTTATTTTAATATTCCGTTTAAAATTTAACGTTAAGTTTAAAGAAAATGAAAATTTATGTACTAAAACAAACAAAAACTAATAGTTTAGATATTAAAATTAATTAAAATTAATAATTTAGGTATTAACTAGTACTTTTCCCCTAATATTAATATAATGTACTAAGTTGATATATATGGTATCAAAATCATGGATGATTGAGAAAAAAATCCCATAAAATCTATGTAGATACGTAATTAAGTTTTATTCCATATTTTATATTAGATATTAATCCATTAATGTACCTTTATTTGTCACTATCACTATCCTCTCAATACCCGTAACGTTAACCTTAAAAACTGTATTCGACTTGTGTTCGTTAAACAAATTTATTGATCGATTTGTACTTGTTAAACTCATTATTTATCTCGTTGCTCGTTAATCTTACAAAACCTTTTCTCTTATTTTTTAACTATAATTAAAATCTACTAATACTATATAAAATTTAATATAAATGTAAATGAATAAATTTAACAAAAAAATTATCAAAAGAGTGTATGAAATATATTCAAAGTCTGAACTCCAAAATAAAAACATACACTTACATTAAAATAATAATTAAAGTTTAATTTTTGGATATAATAAAATAATAATTTAGTTTTTTTTTATAGAAAATTCATCTATTAGTAAATTAGTAATTTTTTAAGATAACTAGAAAAAAATATAAAAAAATTAAAGAATTACTTACGAATTTATTAAATCAAATTAGACTTTATCCGATTCAACTCATTAAAATATCAAATTAAGTTCGAATTATAATCATATCAATCCAAAATAAACTTTTTTTTCTGAATTTTAACATAATCAAATTCAAACTTCGTTAAACTCATTAAACACCCTAATCCCAATCATCAAAACCGTGTCTTGTCAAAACCCGAGTGCGCAAAGCACTCTCCAGCTCACGCTACAAGTGGCCGCCATTGAAATCCGGATGGATAAGAGTAAGACCACCCATATCGCTTCTTCCGACCAAAAAACAGAGCAAAGTTAGTTTTTTTATTCTACACCCACATCACCGGCCCTACACTTGTCCGAACAACCTCGTCAACGGTCGATCGAATCGTCGTTTCGTCCTTTACACAGTACTTCAGAAGTAGCCCTTTTATCTCAGGCCGTTTAATGGTTACAGAAAGTTGTTAGCTCTATGAACTTTTGAGTTGCAGAGAGAGAAAATAGTGTAAGTTTTCTTTCTGGGTTTTGAGTTTGGTTGAAGATGACGAGTCTGCAGGTGAGGCGAGAGAGTGAAATGGACCAGGAGAGTCCGAAGAGTCCAGAGGCAAAGCTTGGGATGAAAGTGGAGGATCTGTGGGGTATTCAGGAACCAAAGCTTACTCCTACCGAGAAGCTCAACGCTTGCTTTGAGAGCATCCCTGTCTCTTCTTTCCCTCTCGCTCCTCAAGGTCTGTTTCTTTTTGTCCATCTATTTGCTTGCATGGTTCCTCTGATTATATGCATGATTTTGTTCGTTTTCCCCTGTTTTGAGGTGTGGGGTTGATATGTTTGCCATTGTGCCAAATACATACATGACAATGAGAAAGTGATATATATAATGATACTGACTTTGTAATGTTTAAGATTGATCTGTTTTTGGTTGAAGACAATGTGGGATTCTGTTTGCAGGGGTTGAGATAAGATCGGATGCTAGTTTAGCGGAGGCTGTTCGAATTCTGGCTCAAAACAAAATTCTTAGCGTACCAGTTGTTGACGTTAATGCCCCTGAGGATGCAACATGGATTGACAGATACATTGGCATTGTAGAGTTTGCTGGAATTGCTGTATGGATTTTGCAACAGGTCGAAAAATCCAATCGAATATATATACTCTCTTTTCTCTATAACCTATTTTTCGAGGATTGTTGCTACCGATATCTCCATCGCATCCTCATCGATCCACCATAGATTTGTAAATGGCATGCAACAGAGAAGAAACATGAATGATGAATCTATAGTTTAACCTTCTTTCTTTTGTGATATTTAGCCTCTTGAGTATGATGTTTAGGCTGAAATATGCAGTTAAGGGGGAAGATGGACTGAATGCAGAATTTCATGGTTTTTATGTTCTAGTTTATGTTTCTCGAATTTGGGTGTACGTGTATATGAGTACTTATCCGTAATGAATAAATTTTTTCACCATTTTGCAGTCAGAACCACCTTCACCTAGAAGCCTTTCATTATTTCCTAGCGGAACAGATGTTGCAGTATCCATTAACGGAATGACCTCTGCAGCGGGACTCGGGACTTTAGGCCCCGAAGATGCTTCAATTACTTCTGGAGACTTTTTTGAGGCTTTAACGTCCTCCCAGTTCTACAAGAACACTAAGGTGGTATTTCTAAATCTCCACTGCAGAACAGTTTCCTTCTATAGTTCTTTCCATTTCTCAGATGTGTGTATTCATGTTAACTTGTGATTGCATACAGGTTCGCGATATCTCGGGAACTTTCCGATGGGCACCCTTCCTTGCTTTGCAAAAATCAAACTCATTTTTGACCATGATGTTATTGCTTTCCAAGTACAAAATGAAGAGTGTTCCGGTAGTCGATCTCGGTGACGGAAAGATTGACAACGTCATCACACAGTCCGCTGTCATCCACATGTTAGCTGAATGCACTGGGTTTCATTGGTTCGAAAGCTGGGGAAATAAGAAACTTTCGGAGATTGGTCTTCCAGCGATGTCACCTAAGCAGATTATCAAAGTGAGTGGCTGTTATCTGCAACTTAACTACTTAAATTTTGTTTGTATCAGCGTCCTGTGGACAAAGTTTCAAACAAGGGTCAAGTAATCACCAAACGTGCTCGAACAATTGAGCCTTTGTTGGATCAAGGCTTCTTGATCTCATCCTGTTCGGCCGGTCACAGTTGCCTTGTATTTCTAGCTATTTCCCCACCATAGTTTCCCTTCAAGTAAAACTACTCCTTAGCAAACAATATGTTAGTGAATCCCTCTTCGCATTTCAGGTACATGAGGATGAACCGGTGCTTCAGGCATTCAAGTTAATGCGGAAAAATAGAATCGGAGGCGTACCAGTCGTTGAAAGTGGAGGAAGAAAAGCTATCGGTAACATAAGCCTTAGAGATGTACAGTTTCTTTTAACAGCACCAGAGATCTATCGTGATTACAGGTTTGTGATGATCATTTTGAAAACTTCAATTCTGGATCCTATACGTTTAGACATTTGGTGTTCTGAATCATGTTCCATTTGATTGGGTAGATCCATCACAGCGAAGAACTTCCTGATAGCGGTTAAAAAGTACCTGGAGAAACATGACGAGGGATCGCCGATGTTGAGTGGCACGATTACTTGCAAGAGAGACAAGACCATCAAAGAGTTGATCAAGACACTTGACTCGCAAGAGATCCATCGGATGTACGTCGTGGATGACGACGGGAATTTGGAAGGAGTGATCACACTTAGAGACATCATATCGAGGTTAGTAAACGAACCACGCGGGTACTTTGGCGATTTCTTTGACGGTGCGTTGCCTTTACCGCAGAACAGTCGGGTTTAAAAGTGATCGGAAAGTTCGTGCCGTCCGTTTTCTTTGTGGTTCTGCTTTTCCCATTGTCGGAGACTGATCGGATACATGGATTCTAACACAGGTGAGAAAGCCTTTGTGCTTGAGTTTACTTCAGGCTTTGACAGATACCGATTTCTGTAAAATTTCGTAGTGCAGGACTCAACATCATGTGATATCTTAATAAGAAACCGTCTTGTTTTCTTCTTGAAATAAATTGTAAAGCAAAAAACAAGTAGTGAAATTAAGATTATATTTGGCGACATCTCTTGATTGGACCACATGGCTTTTGCAAAAAATATATTCTACACTCATTTCAAATTCCAATAATATAGTTGTAATATATATTCGACACTCATTTCACTGCACTACAGATGTTCATGGGTCGGGTCGAATATAATCACACCTCATGTTCGTATTTGAACATATATAGAAACATAGGTGTGAAACATGGAGAACTTAAGAAAAATGTATAGACTTTGAAGAGACCGAGTAAATCAACAATTGCTACCTCTTAAAACATGGTTTTTTTCTTCAATAATTGCTAATCTTATACAATCAGACCGAAGTAATGAAAATGGTTCTTACATGGTAAAAGAAGCCTATTCCATGGAATCAAAACTTGGAGCATACCACCCTAACTGGTCACTGATCTTCTTCAACCTCTCTTCTTGTCCTTTCGAGTCGCCGATCGCGGTTGTGAAAGGGTAAATATAGGTCACTTTCATGGCCATTGACCTGTATGTAACAGCATCCCCTTTCACTAAGAACTCCATCACATCCGGACCAAACCTTCCATCTACCTCAGCTTGCATATATTTCCCTGATTTGTTTCAGTTTCACATGAACAAATTTCAAACACAAAAATCCTTAAATCCCAATTTGCAACATCATATATAAACTCGGACTCGGCTACGAGCTACACACATAAGTACTTACGAGTCATATCTTCGTAACCAAATCCGAAAACACTACTATTTCAAGAAAAACACGAAGAACAGTGCAGCTGCTTTGGTCTCTACTTACCATTTGGGGTATCTTCAACAACCACAATCTTGGCATTCTTCTGAGTTTTGAGAATTGCTTCCTGCAGTTCCTGCAATGAAACAACCTCTCAATAACCAAAGCCAACATGAAACTATTTAACAAAATTTTCAAACCTGAACTGCATTCTCTTGAGAACTCCCAGGTACAATCCATGGGAAAGCAAAAGATGATGACTTTGCATTTGTTGAAATACAACCAGGATTTGTTGATGGACAAGGCCTAATTTTCCTGCCACATCACTCGTCACCATGAAGAAGAACAACTAAACATTAACTATGCATAAACACACACACACATATACATACATGCATTGGGTTGATTGAAACCCAGATAAAGAGACACAAAAAGGGAGGGTTTTTAAGACATACCCATCTTCAAGCCCAAGCTGCAAGAACTTGGACTCAGTGAAAGGGGTGGTGGTGAGAGGGGCTTGAGGGGAAGACAGGGAGTTGAGAGAAGGGATGGCTAAGGAAGGAAGTGGGGAGTTTATGGTCAACGTGAGGGCTAAAGAGATAAGGTTTGAGAAGAGAAAAGGTTTGGGTTTAGGGTTAGGGATTTGAATCTGAGGAGACTGAGAGAATGATGATTGTTTGGGAGGGGAAGTAAATGGAGGATGAAGAGCAAGTAGAGTAATTGTCATGGCTTTTTTTCGTTATCTTTCTCCTTCGCTCTCACATATTCAAGCTTTTGTTTCTGGCTCTGCTTCACTGATTACTCCACCTTGTCAAAATCTAAAACGGCGCCGTTTTGAACTCTATTTCAATAGTTTTTTTTTTTGAAATTTGAAGGAGGAAAAAAAGAAAATTATTATAAATTTCACTAGTACAATGTATTAATTTATCATTTTAAATTAAACTCTATATTTTTTCGTATCTATATTTGTTCGTTTACTGATACAGTATGATTTGTTCGTATATATATTCGTTTGAGCTTTTTGGTTAGATTTGTTTTTAATTTTTCCTTGTTTGATTCTTGTTTGATCTAAGTGGTTTTTTTTGTCAATGTTATAGGAATTTAATTTACGTTTATGGTTTTTCTTGTAAACCTTTATTGTAATTTTGAATATATTTTATTTTTAATAAAACTAACGACTTTCTATAAAAAAAAATTGATAAGTTTAGTCGAAGATAACGATAGACTGATCAATAAGTTATAATCACCTCTTTTAGTATAAATGAAAGATTATATTTTAAAATTTAAGAGAAAAATATTTTTCTAAATAAAATTAAACAATATTTTGATGGAAAGAGGTAGGATCCATCTTTAAAGAGAGAAAAATCTAATTATGCACTTCATATTTTAAATGTTGCATGAAGAAGTTATGTAAAGGGGTTAAATATCTAACAACAAAGTGATATTAAATTATGATGATTTTTTCTTTTTATTTTATTAGTTATTCAGTAGAAAAATGACTATCTTTATTAATATATTATATTTAACAATTTTTATATCAATAAATAATAGTTGAAAGTGTGATTTAAGTCATAAATATACATTTAACAATATTAAAGATTTATTAATAATGTAATGCACTTGGTAATTTTAAAGATTTATCATTTGGGCACGAATCAATTTACCTTGTTTATAAATATCCTTTGGTTAAACCTAGTTATTTCGCTAAAATTTTTGTTCTCCAATTTCATCTCGAATATGCTTTTGTATCCGAGACCGAAAAAGACAAAATTTTCTTTTGGATTCTTGGAGAAACATACTTTGAATTCTTTGGAAAAGTTATTCGAAACCATAGCAACATCATCGTTATAAGAAGCCAAGAAACTTACTAATTCAATAAAGTTTCCACGATTAGTTGAATCTTCTGTTTAATCACGACCCTGTAAAGCACAACTTTGAAAAGTTACCTACTTCACAACTTTTATAGAAATTTTGAGTTGCAATCGATTTCTTGCAACTTGTTGAGGCGTTTATTTCTCAATCACTTTTTTCGATATGTTGAAGAGAGTTTACCAAATCATGATAACTTTTCATGGCCTTCTTATGGATAGAGTTAGCATCTTTCGTGACATGAAGAAGGAAAGCACAACTAGATCATTCATTAATTTTATTCCAAGATCGAAAGCCATCATGAGTAAAAACATTTGATCTAGGGTGTCCAAGAGGCTTATTGAAGAGAAAACACGGAAGACAATAAGCGACACCCTTGGTTGGTGAATAATTCAACCAATCAAAAAATAACTTATACCATGAAGTCAAAAATTGACGTCCATACTTATCAACATATTTCGGATCATTAGAAGGAATGGTTGATAAGGACCTTTTCTGATATACACTCTTCGAACTTTATCTTGTTGATTTGGAGGAAAATCCCAAATATAATTTCGTATTCTTGGATCACACTCAATAATGGATTCATCAAAAGTTTCTTGTTCAACTCTTAGAGCTTTACTTGGATGATTATCCATCATCGGAGAATTAATGAGTGCCGAACTTGGATTTGGAGAGCTCTCACTAATATGAGGATAATTACTATTAAGTTTGGGCTCCTTTTGATCAACTAAATTTTCAATAAGAGAAGAACCAATATTACTTTCGGAATATCCCTTCCTTTTAAAAAAGAAGAATCAATTTTTTGATTACTTATATCAAGCTTTAAAGGTTCTTCACTCATTCATTTCTCGAAAAAAATGCCATATTCCATTCATTAATATCTCAACAATTATATTGTAATATTCAAATTATAAAAGATATTTAATCTTACAAGTTTTCTCTTAACTAGTTAAACTAGCTCAATTTAAGGTTTTTTTGTTAAACCTCAATTTGAACATTCTAAACCTCAATTAAGCATTATACTATTATCATTGGATCATAAGAACTAATTTAGAAAGAATAATCTACCTAGTAATCCTACTAACCCAAAGTCAAGAATTATTAAAGAAGAATTTTCAAAATTAATTATCAATATGATGATTTTAAGTTAAGAATGGGTCATAAATCTCTTACTGAACATAGAAGATAACTTATGAAGTTCTAAAATCAAAGAAATTTAATGAAACTAAGGTTTCACCGGCTCTGAAAATCAACTTAAGGTTGAAGATAACTTACATATCTGTCCATCCTGCTTATCAGGGCAGTTAGCGGAGCTTCAAAAGCTTGGCCCTTTCATGCAAATCCTTCCAACATGTAGCCGATTGTTAAATCAAGGTTATATCTTTACTCTCTCATGCTTGGATTTGTTTTTCCCTCATGACTTTTTGTTGGAGGTCCATCGAACTTTCCTCTGTGGAAGTCGAGTCCTTTTAATTTCCCCATTTTTCTTGGGGCTTCTCATCATCTTGTTTTGAATTGCAGGTGTTTCTTACCAAATTAACAAACAGGTATTTCCCCATTTTCCTCTGTGGAAGTCGATATCCTTAATTCAACTTGCTAGTATCATGATAAACAGGATTGCAAAGTCTCTAGATGCTTGAATCTTAGTGTCTACATTTTGTATGAAGTATAGCTTGAACGTTTTAGGTATCATGGACGAACATATTTTGGAAGTGACTATTTGTTTCTGACTTTGTGTTCGTCTATGCATGGGTGCTAAACTGCTTATGCCATTGGGGCACTTACCGATGAATGATAATTTGTTTCTTGTTTGAATTTGCCTGTCTGATTGCTTATGCTCTTTGGTGCATGTAAACGGTTTCACTGTTCGTTTGCTGTTTATTTTATATTTCCTTTTGCAAAAATAATTGTGGGTCGAGAAATGGGTAGGTCGAAAGGATTTGGCTTTGTCTCCTACACTTGTACCGAGGATGCCTCCAGTGCAATACAGGCCTTGGATGGACGGGCAATGATATAAAAGTAAATGGGTTTTTTAGGATTTACATGTTACTTTGATCAATGTTACTTGGACTTGATTGTGAGTGTCGGATATAGTTATGTGTCCACCATGAGTATGTTCGAAAATTTCTAACTTATTCCATGTATTTGGAGCGCTATTGGAGGGTCATATTCATAATGATGATTTGTTGGAATGTTTGGTTGACTGGAATTTGCGTCGTTGTGTGTGGATCCTTGTTGCAGGAACTCCATGGTCGTCAAGTAAGAGTAAGCTATGCAGCTGAAAGACCTCGCAACTTTGGAGGTGGAGGTTTCAATAACGGTTATGGCGGAGGCGGCGGCTATGGAGATGATAGTGGGGGCTAATCCAGAAACAATGGTTTCTCTTCTGGAAATTATGAAGGTAATATTGGATATGGTAGCACTGGTGAGGATGGTAGTGGACTCACTCGATTATCCAATTTAGACATACAACTCACTCGATGGATAAACGGACTCCATACATCTCTCTTTTAATTTGTGGACTCATTTAGGTCCAAAATCATTGTTTCGGAGCAATGCTCAACGCACCAACTTTACCACAAAATTCTTCTCGGAGCTAATCTTAATGCACCAACCTTACCACGAATATTCCCTATCACACACTTATAAAAAAAATTTAGAGTACTCTTTCTTAGGTATGCTTTTCATATCCGAATGTCCTATTTAGAACAATATTCAAATAATTCATGTTCACCAAGAGTAATTGACACAAAATGCATAGTTACGGAAATGTTTTCGGTTCAGAATTTTAAAAACAAATCACATTAGTTGTCATGATCAACCCATATTAGATAGCAATGTTGCTCGATTCATCCATAACATATATCCTAATTCATAGTTTATACAAAATAGCTATGAAATTCATATTTCATAGTTCGTATCTCACGTATTATATGCCTATTTTCAATTCACAAATCACAATTCATATATCACAACCCTTCGACTATTAAAAGTTACAAAATGGTCTCAACTATAAGATGTTATTTTTAAGTCCCTGACTATTAAACATTACAAAATGGTCACCCGACTATTCATTATGTTTCAAACTCATCATTTTTCTGTTAAAAAATGATGGCAATTTGAGTTGACGTTAACCCGCTGACTGATATATGATATAATTTGATCTCAGAATCTCAAACGATTATCATATCCCAGTCAGTAGGTTAACGTCCAACTCAATTGCTATCAATTTTTATTAAAAAAGAACGAGTTTGGAACACAATGAAAAGTTGGATGACCATTTTGTGACTTTTAAAAGTCGAAGGAGTAAAATAACAATGTCCTATAATTAGGAGATCATTTTGTAACTTTTAATAGTTAAATGATCATTTTATAACTTTTAATAATTAAGGACTCAAAAAATAATATTCGTGACCCAAAAATGCGAAGAACTTAAAAAACAGTACCATATAATCGGGGACATTTGTGTTCTTTACCTTTGAAAATAATACTTTTCCAACAATGGATATAATAAACTTAAAATAATAGGATCAATACTAAAGAGGTGATTTGATTATTAATAACAATAATAAACTACATTATTTCAGAAAATCGTCGATATGTCCGAGTGGTTAAGGAGACAGACTTGAAATCTGTTGGGCATTGCCCGCGCAGGTTCGATCCCTGCTGTCGACGAATTCTTTTTGTGCTTTTATTTTACCCTTTCTGTTCACCGGATTATTTAGGAAACGATGATAAGACAGGAGCTTTTATGGACATATCTACTTGACAAAAATAAATGATGACTTAGCCTTGAATCTCAGAAAGGTATTTTACAGCGTAATGTTCGTAATTATCTTCGGGTTATCCATTTCATATTTCTTTGAACATGGTGGTAATGCCATCTACAATGGGGGATGGATTTGGCTAAGTTCTGGGGATCAAATTCAGACACTGCCTTAAACGAAATCATCTCCCAAGTTGAGGTTGATGAACTACTTGGGCTAAGCCTCGGGTTTGGCTGTTTACAAGGCATAGAAATTTGTGAATGGTTAGGGAGGCTGTAGATAGAAGCCTCTTCAGTAAACTCTTTCCGCTTCCGCTTCTTAATCTACACAACGGCTTTGATCGGAGGAGTGTTTTTCATGCTTTTCTTGAAAGTGTTAACTGTTAACAATGAGGTCTTTAGCCGGCCGGTTATGTTTTTAGGAGCTTGCAATGGGGAATAAAAGTATCAAATTTCTAATTGATCAACAACGGGCGCTTGTTACAGACATATCTACTTGGCATAGTCCGAGTTCCATATGAGATTAGTACTATTATTTTTGTTGCTGCAAATGGTCCATAGCTTAGGAATATGAACCTAGATGTCTGCAAACCGATCATACATTCATGATTCATAAACAGTTTTTCCACACAAAACTCACTACCTAGTTTCATTACATATTACTAGACATTTCTAAAACCTGTAAGGAGGATAGAGGTCCGTAGATAACTAGTTGTGGGTCGAAGAAGATCGAGTTGTAAGTGATGCCCTCATATCAACGATGGCGGATTCATCGGCACCCAGCTTTATGGCCTCTTTGCTTGCTCTTATAAACCTTGAAACTGCGCCTTTGACATACTCGTGAGCTTCTTTTACACTCATTTCTATACTTGCCTTGTCAGCAAACCTGCTCAAGAAGTGGTCACCGTAAAGAACGGAGGATAGTTGAACAGTCTCACTCTGAAATTCGGAGAGACTGGCATTCTCTTTCGCTTCCGTCATCCTCAAGGGAGCTACTTCTGGTAATGTCTCTGCAATTATTTTAGATGAAAACAAATTACTGCTAATAAATCTTCTTTCCCGTCCTTCATACATGGATGATACAACTTTGATGATCTTATTAGTAAAATTAGTGTTGTTTGCACTTTTCAAATAAACATAAGCATATCAAACACGTCTGTATCTGTTTTACCTGGGCAATCAGTTCTGGGAGAGGTTAACTCTCCGACAACGTTTTCGAAAGTGCCGGCCCAAGCATCCCTGTGAGTCAAGAAGTTGGACGACAGATTGAACATTTTCTTTATTGTTGCAGGGATTGATGAGTGCTCATATTCAGAGTTTGGAAAAGGTCCCTTTGGACCACTAATCACTGCAACACCATAAGATTTAGCCAGCCAATTAGGGGATTACTTTGATATTCTAATATAAAAGATCATCAATGCGTATCGGACTTTACCGGTGCCTTTCTTGATCCAAGGAGAGATAATGATTGTCGGCACACGAACACCGAGCCGATCGAACTTGAAGAAGGAAGGTGCAGGGCCAGTGTTTCCATCCGGGTTCGGGACATTAACATAGGGAGTCTTCACATGGTCATAGAATCCACCATGTTCATCATAAGTAATCACCAAAAGTGTCTGGTTCCATTGAGGGCTGGCCCTCAATGTCTCGTACACCTCCTTCACAAGCTTCTGGCCATTAGCAACATCATGGGACGGGTGATCGTCGTTCGCAGGCAATCCCTTGAGATCGAAATAACTCGGCTCGATCACCGTCAAGCTTGGAAGCTTACCTTCCCTTGCATCTTTCTTGAACTTCAAGTTATACTGATGGAACTTGAAAACGTACTTCAGTTTCCTCAGGTTCCTGTAAAACAAAGTTGTGGGGATGTTCTGGAAATAAACCCCAAAGTTCTTGCCATTCTCATGGAGTGAATCGAAGATTGTTTTTTGAGGGTAGCCATGAGCTAACTGTTTCTTAACATGGCTGGTTGAACCATGGGAAGTGGCCGAATAGACGAACAGTCTGTTCGGCTGTGTTGGACCGGGGATCGAAGAGAACCACCGGTCGAACACCGCGAATTCCTTCACCAGAGCAGCGTAAACTGGCACCGACTCGGGTTTAAAGCCTTTCATGACGGTTTCCGATAGGTTCGGGGACATGGACAATGCTTGTTCGACAAAGCCGGTCATGGAAGGGACGGTGGAAGAGCCGAATACCTGTTGTTCGACGGCTTCGAAAGAGTGACCGGGATCCGGATCCACGAATTCGGCATCGTCGGTGAAGCAAATGGATTGTGGGCTCGGGTTTTGGGTTGAAACCGGGTTGCATTCGGATCCGGTAACGCCATTGATTGATGGGTTGATGTGTTTCTTCATCCAGCCGAGCATGTGGTCGAAGGATCTGTTTTCCATCACCAGCACCACTATGGTCTTGATGGGTGATTGCTGCTGAGCTACCAGTGGTGCGAAAAGACATGAACCAGTGAGAAACAGCGAGAAAATGAAGGAAAATGAAGCCATTTGATAACTCAGTGGATTGGGGTTATTGAAGCTGGTTTCCAGGAATCTAACAACTTCTAAAACTTTGGACAATCATAAGTGAAAAACTTGATTGGGAATTCACTGCATTATTTGCAGAAAATCTGTGTTTTTTCTTGCTTTTAGAAAATTTCCAGTGTCGAGAAAAAGAGAAGACAGACCCACAGAGAAGGAAAAGAAAGTGATTGCTTCGGTTTTTCAAAGGGAAAAAGCAACAAAGAGAGGAAGACATTGACATTTTTATTTATGAAGCTTTCGTGTCCATTTGTGAATTTAATCGGTAAGTGAGTTGGATTTTCAGTTATATTTTAGTGTTGTGTTGCATTCATAAAGATTCTTTACTGTGAACTCCATGGAAGTTGCTAGACAAAAAAATGTTAATTTTTTTTTACAATTATCTGATCTAGATTAATCAATTAATAAAATCTGATTGTATGAGAAAAATATGATAAATATTTTTTGTTAATATTTTATTGGATTTTTCAAATAAAATTAATAAGAGAATAATTATTAGTTTGATAAGAACTATTATTTTAATATTTAAAAAATATTTAAAATTTAAATATAATTATTTTTTTATTTAAGTTTGATTAAGATAAAGGTTGATTTAAGCAGTCAAATACTATTTTTAAAACAAAAAAACAAAAGGGAACTCTCACTTTAATCCAATTTCTTTACATTATTTACGACGGAAAGTTGTCTCATCTTTGGCTTTATAGGGGACAAAGACCCAACATTATCCTTCCACTAACGGAGCGTGAAAGGATGGGATGCGGCGAGCACTATTAATTAATCAATAATCATGATTAAGAGTGAATTAGTTTAGGGTTTAGAAGGGAGTAGAATTGCTTCCCTTCTCGAGTGGGGTGCACGTGAAGCACTTCATAGTCTTCGCCAAATCGGGAAGTAGGTAATTTTAGATTTTATGTGATGGAGGATGGTCACGGGTGCAATTCCCGCTACTTAGTTGTCGATTTCTTAATAAACAAAAACAAAAAGAATTTTTCAAAAAAAAATGAAATCAAAGTTGAATATTGTAAGAATTAAAATATTTAGTTCAGTTTAATTTAATTTAATTTTTTAGATTTTATCTATTTATTATTTTTAAAATTTAACATAATAAGTTTTAAATTTAAATATGTAAATCAAATCGAAATTAAACTAAAAAAATGTACCAAGTTAAATTATACAATTTAGTTCAAGGTGAATTTTTCGAATTTATTACTCAACCTTAGTTATGGGTAATAGGTGTGCAAATCCGAGTACCCGCAACATCCACATTGGTGATTTTTCGGGTTGTGTCCCGACCCAGATATTACGGGTATCCAGTAATCGGGTACCCGATACTCTTTTTTTTCATTTTCAAATTATTAATTAAAAAAATATACACAAATTTAAATATTTGAAACTTCAAATTACATACTCTAACATCCGAATATAAAATTTAAAAGTTCGAAATACAAAATTTAATAATCCATAATATAAATAATTCATTATATTATATATATATATATATATATATATATATATAAATAAAAACTAACCGGGTACTGGATAACTGAGTACCCGAAAAAACTCAATTTTGTAACCTGGGCCCGATCTGGAAAAGGTAGGGCCAGGTACCCGACTCGGTTAGATAATTTTTTAAGAAAATTACCCGATTTTTTAAATTTGAGTCGACAGATCAACGAATCGAGTCCACCAGGTTAGGTATTTTTACACACCCCTAGTTAAGAATGGCATCAATTCTTAGCTTAGAGAACGAGGAAGGTGAGAATTCACTAACTTTTGTCACTGCTTCGGTAAAAAAAAAAACGAGTCGAAGGAATTGAAAAAGAAATTGTAGAGCATCACGATCACATCACATGCCCCTAAATCAGGCTTTTAAGCAAGAAAAAAGAACTAAACCGACCACCAGCCGACAGTGGAAACTTTCCAACAATTTTGGGCGTTTTAGGCTTCGCCCACTTTTGCTTTTCCTCAACCTTCTACAACGAGGAATGGATGATTCCGATTTATAAATTCCAATAATATTTTATTTTCAGTGAAAATCTAAAACTAAATTTCATGAAATGCAACTCTGTTTATTTTCCTTACAAAAAGGTGATTTCACCCTTCAACAAGTGTCAAAATTTTCAGAGATAAACCATGGGAGAAGACCACAGTTTTGAGTTCAATATTCTAAAATATGAAGGCAGCAAAGAAGAACCCATAAAACAAAAAGACTCGTTCACCTCTATGCTATTGCATGTTGACCTAATAAATTAGGGGAAAATCAAGCACAAGAAATGCCTTTGAGCCATTTTTATGAATGGGAAGTTCCTAACAATGCTAGTTACCGGCTTTCTTCAGGTATGCTAATAACCCCAGCCCAGCAACAACAGCAGCCCCGGCTGCCACCGCGCTGTACGCGGCAGCCCACGAATCAGATTGAGCATAATCCAAGCTTCCTGAACCCGAACCCCTTCGATGGTTTTGCTCTCCTGAATAGTCTAAATGCAACCTCAAACCCTGCAAAAATTCAACCAATTTTTTACTTAATTGAGCTGAATGGAGTTGTTGAGGAATTTCACTACCAATAACTAGGTATTATATTCTCGGGACGGCACTACCATATAATGTCGGAGGGGAAGTTCGGGCAGGGTGTAGGAAGCTTGATTCAATTCACCTTAGCATCACTTTACACCCTGCTCGACCTCCCCTACGAGACGCTCCCCAGAAACCCACAAAGGTAAGGGGACAAACCCCCAAACATTATGATAGTACTGTCTCGAGGACATAATATCTGATTGTTAGGAGTTCCGACTGATCGTGTAATTAGAAGATCCTTCAACAATTACTACGGGAGGAACATAGATTCGGAGTAACGGTGAATTCCTCTGTGAAATGCAGTATCGGATCTCTATTCATAAAAAGACAGTTCAGTCATACCTTCCAACCAACTAATTTTGCATGCTCCACAGCAGCTGCGAGATCACTGTCCGATGTCAGGACAACTTTGTCATGGTCTTCATCTTCATACTGCATAATATGCCCACCAATTATCAAAACATACATACTTGATACACATCGTTTTCATCTTCATTATTAAACTAGTAATTTTTTTTGCCAAATGCCTACCAGAATTTGAGGTACCCTGTTCCTGTCTATGTCATCCTCCAGTCTATGAAGGATTGCAGTTATTAGATCTGTCATACTCCGTGTATCTGTATTGTGAAACAATAAGCAAACCACCTATTAATATACGATTTTCCTGGACGTAACATGAGGTATAAATGCAGGTTGTTGATGAAGGATAGGGTCCCTCCTATACTATCTACCGAGCATCATGCTCAAGAAAGGCGGAAAAAGGGCCCGTATGGCCACTCGAATATTATTTTCAACGGAGCATCATTGCACCACTAACCAATTGTTAATCACACGGATATTAACCATAAGATTAGAATTTGGATCAAAAAAGGTGAAAGATGAATTCTTGGAGCTAGTGTCACTTATAAGATTCATGGAACGGTAGCATACCACAAAAGAATCTATGCATTCGACCCCTTTTGTCTTGTATTTTGAAACCGAATGTATTCGGCAAATTGGTTGAAGGATAGGGAAGAACTCTCCCTGTCTCAGCTACTACAGAAGCCAGCTTCAAAGAATTATCACTGAGACATCACTATCACTAAATCAATAAATGGTAACGGCAAAAATCACAACTATATCCAGAGGAACATCAATATAGGAAACCTTCGAGCGTCATCATTGACTTCATTGGGTGGTAAGGCCAACGCAGAATCCCAAAACCTTTGCATCATCGTTGTGGAAGTCTCATTATTGATTCCAGAGGCAGTACCAACCTAGTTATTGAAGAAGAAGCCAAGACTAAAAAAACCATGAATTGCAAAGGAAATAGGATAAAAGAATCATATTCTTCTTTGATTCTCAAACCCATCTACAAAAGCACCATAAGATTACTTCAAAAACTCCAAAGTCTTGGAACAATACTGACTTGACTTATTGTGGCAACAGCGGCGTGAGTAATGTGGAGTACATCAACAACAGCAACAATCTCTCCATCTGCATCCAACCATTGAAACTTATTAAGAACTAGTTTGACGTACATACAACAATATATTCTTTGCAAGGTAGCAATTTATATCACCTCTATCTACCACAGGAAGGTGTAAAAATTTCCCATCATGCATGGTATGCAAAGCATCAACAATTGGTGTGTCAACTGTTGCACATTCTGGGTTAGGAGTCATGACCTATCCAGGAAATTAAAGCAAAATGACTAGAACTCAACATTATACTCATTATCTAGGTTAAAAACTGATCAATTGCTACTAGTGTGCATACGGCCAAGTAATGAGAATAAAATACTGCTGACATGGGAACATAAAATGAGATCGAGAAAAATTTACAGTCTCTACAGTAGTAGTCTCTGGAGGCAGATTTTGCACTATTACCCGCATCAATATATCCTTTGAACTGTCAGAAATTCAAAGGCATAAGTTAGAATATAGGATATGCCAATGACAACTGCAACAATTAAAAATAACAAAACAGATTAGAATACTCCTTCCTACCCTCCCTCAGCTACGTAGCGAACAATATTGAAATACGATTTGATTCAAAATAGACTCACGTTATGATCCCTCGTGGTTTTTTGTCAACTGTCACAACTGCAGAATTAAATTGAGATTCAAGCATCTTTTTTGCAGTGGCTAAAACTGTGTCATCAGGTGAAACCGTTACAAGCCTGACAGAGGGGCATCATGTTAAGCAAAGCTACTCATATTGTCATGTGTGAACAGAACAACATTAGCAGATATGTAAAAAGAGAAAGTATTACCTACTTTGGATTGTCTGTAATAATTGTAGACAGTAACGGCCTGAACATACGCTCCCGAAGTGTCTCAATGAATGTACTCTGGCCTGCATATCACCCCGTAAGATTGCACAAAAACAACTCCATCAAAGACAAGAAAATACCATCCACCAACCAGATAAAGGTGTTCCCCAATTTTTTTCTACACCCTCAACAGCTGCAACAATGGCTTTTCCCTTCTCGGCTGCCCTTTCCATTCGAGCAATAGCATCATACAAACACTTAGCTATATCAAGTAAAGCAATGACTTCCCCATTCTCTACAACAGGCAAGTGTCTAAATTTTCCTGTTTATAATAAAATCAGAACAAAATTAGATGATAAGCTATAAGGAAGTACATCACATAAAAGGGTGGTTGTCAATAACAAAAGGCCAACCTTGGACCATCTTCTGGAGTGCCTCCACAGCAAGAGAGTCAGAAAGAACAAAGACAGGATTCCTAGTCATCACCTTGGAAACTGGTGTCTCCTCCAGACTAAGCTCCCGAGCAATTACTCGTAGTGCTATGTCCTTCGGGCATTAAAAAGACGAAAACTCAATAAATAAGATACAGCATAGTTATAGTTCACTAAACAACTGAAGGCAGTACAAAAGCCACCCCCTCCCCCAAGAGCCAAAGAGTAAATAACTGAGTAACTACAAGTCTACAACAGTCAAATCTGAAATGCCTGAGAGAGCATGGTTTAAGATATCATATCAGAGAGAATAAATTAAATCTTGTAGCTGGCTCAACTTGTTTGGAGAGTTGTGTATAAAGAAATTTGTTACAATTCACAATATAAGTCACACCTTGTCCGTGAGGATTCCACAAAGTAATGCATTAGAGTCGGTGAGTAATAAAGCATCAACCCTACGAGCAGCCATCCTGCGGCAAGCCTCATAAATGCTTGTACTATCAGGTACTGTCAAAGCCTTTGATAGCCGCAACTTCTTCACAGTACGCTCTCCAGAAAGTGCCCTTTCCACATGCAAGGTCAAACAAAAAGTTCCATTAATACTTTGAAGATGGAATTTGTTAGAATGTGTTAATCATTTTTCATCACTAATTTTACAGAATGATTACGTTTAAAACATGAATTCCACAGATTTTCACCAATTATCAAGATTAATAGCTGCTTCTACTCTTGTCGGTTAAATTTCAAAATAAAGAGGCCAAACATATTTTAAAGCAAAGAAAGGAAGGTTCATGTTTAAAACAGTACAACTAGAAGATAAAACATATTGCTCCAACCCTTTCAGATTAATTGAAGTACCTGTGTTAGACACATCTGTAATCTCAACATGTGCACATCCTTGAAAATATAAGTATGAGCCTCCAAATAAAAGGGAAATAAAGAATGCTCCTATGTTGGATGCATTGCCAAGCAACATAAACAACACATACAAGGTAAAGAGGAAAACGAAGGTCGTGGTTACTCTATGCTTCCTAAAATAGGCACACCACTCACTCTTTATTTGCAATAATCAAGACCTAAAACCAAGTTAAAAAGAATATAGTGTGGAAACATCCGTAAAGAATCATCCAGAGTGACCCACAAAATTTTCTAATCAGGTACTCCGGCCCAAACTATTGAAGATTATGCAAGCAGCAGCAATAAAGCTAAAGATCTTTCCAAAAGCAACTAAAAGAATATATACTAGTTATATTAATTATAGTTTTCCTTCAATCCATTCAAATTCAATTATCCGTAATAAAACTCCATAAAAACTAAACTGAGCCATTTACACATGGATGGATCGAGGGAGGTGCTAGTGTGCGGTCACACACTGGAAATTTTAAATTCTCACTTAGTTTAGGTATTTTCTTTATATTTTACATATGATGATCTAATTCCTTTCACCTAAAATTTTATAATTTCAGGTCCCTAAATTTCTAATATAACTTCATTTAGTCACATGATAACCTAAAATTTTCCTTGGCAAAAACTTCAATAATCCTTTAAAATTCAATTCATCTGGTATCGCGGTAAAAAAATGAAACACAAGATTTGAAATTAAATAACTTACATAGAACGAGAAGATGGTAAGAATGTTCGGATACATTCGGAACCTCCACTCTCCGATATTCTTTTTCTCGCTGGTGATATACTTACCGTTGATAAACTTCGCCTCAACGAACCACGTCGACTTGCCATATCTAATCCCAGCTAATCACATAGAATTTCCAATTTTCAGATATTAAAGAAAAACGAATGGAAACAAATTAACAAAAATAAATAAATCACACCTCCAAAAGGATAATAAACCACTTACCAAAATTAGAAACTTATTTGTTTTGCGTCGAATCAGGGGATTCCAAACAAACAGCTAAAAGATATTAAAATTTCAGCTGGAATTTTTTAATTATAAACAAATTGAGCATAGCTGAAGATGGAAACTGAGCGAAAATAAAAGCACTAAAGACTCTTGGCTTCAGAAAGCGCAGAGATGTTCTTTGGAGTTTCTGTATTTTTACGAGAAAAATGGAATAACCGTAGGTCGGGAATCCTGTTGGGAGAACTCGCCGGAACACTTTCCGACCGGGAAGAAGAGAAAGGATAACAAACAGAACCACGAAAACCCTAAGAATGGGATGATATGAAATTTGGCGGAAACTCGGAAGTGTAGCCAATCAGCTTTTCCCACGTGGAATATTTTTAAACTGAAACTTGATCCAATTTATGTGATTTTCTGAGATTTCCAATTTTCACGAATTTTTGTGATTATAATTATATATACTTATTTCTGGTCACTCAAATTTATTTATATATATTTTTTAATTATTTAATTTTAAAATTTTAAAATTTAGAGAGAAAAAAATTCGAATTTCGTTCTCTTGTCACTCAACTAATACGTGTCATTTATATTTTTTTGGATAAATTAGATTTTATTATCCAAAGGAGCAATGTTGCTACAAGAGACATCCCTAAAGGGAGTATAAACAATTACATACAATAAAAAATGGTTAGTCTATACCCCAATTACAACAAAGATTAAAATTAACACTATCATTTCTATTTATGATTTTACCTCTAAACTGAATCCGGACAATTTCCTTGATAGAAGTAAGAATTTGATCAGCTTCTTTAGATCTTCGTTGAAATATTCTTCGGTTTCTCTCCTCCCAAATGAAATAGATAAGGGATGTCCAAGCTAATTTCAATAAGGTAGAGATGAGAGATTTGCCCCTCCATTCATCACAAGCCCATTCAATCATAGTTTCCCACGACATGTGTGGTTTTCGCAAATGAGAGAGATTTAAGATTGAGTTCCACAGCAATTTAGCAAAGCTACAGTCTGCAAATAAATGGTTCATGGATTCAAGAGATTCATTACATAGAACACATTGACCATCAGTGAGAATACCCATCTTTGACAGTCTTTCCCGAGTTGGAAGTCGGTCTAAGATGACCATCCAAGCTATCATACTAAACTTAGGTATATGAGAAGGGAACCAAATTATTTTGTGCCAAGGAACCTTACTTCTTCTTTCTCTGACAGCTTCCCATATGTCTTTAGTATAATTAGTTCATGCATTCAAAATAGGGAGGGCTGTAGATCTAAGTTTCAGAAGTTTTTTGATGCTCCAGCTGTGGGGAAAGCTTGCAGCCATGTCTCTGAAGTCATTGGTCTTTATAACATAGCAATTTAACCATGCAACCCATAGAGATCCCTCTCCTGCCAAAATGTTTCGAATGAGCAGAATCATACAAGCAATGTTCCAGGTTTTGATGTTCTTCAAGCCTAACCCACCTTCTGATTTAGGGCAGCAGATATTAGTCCAGCTGACTCTAGCCCCAGATGCAACCTGATATGTTCCTTTCCAAAGGAAACGAGAACAGAGCTTATCGATTCTATTAATTACAGATTGAGGGAGCATGAATTGCTTGCACCAATAATTTGCCACACTGAAAAGAATTGTTTTGACTAACTCAAGTCTCCCAGAATAGCTAAGCATCTTACTAGACCAATGGTACATCCTTAATTTAATTTTATCCAGAAGAGGTTGGCAATCTTGTTCAGATAGTTTTTTAGTGACTAGGGGAACCCCCAAATACCTAACAAGAAGATGACCAAGCTTGAAACCAAAAATGCAATGGATAATTTCAAGATTCCTAGGAGAAATACCAGTAGCAAAAAGTCCAGTCTTGTTAACATTAAGCTTGAGCCCAGACAAGTCATAAAAGTGATTTAAAACAGAAATGATTCTAGCAATAGATTCAGAATTTCCTTTGCATAAAATTAAGAGATCGTCAGCAAAAGAGATATAAGTTAGCCCAATTTTTTTACATTTAGGGTGATACCCAAATATCCCTTTAGAAGCAGCAAGATTAAGGATTTTAGAGAGGATATTCATAGAAATCACAAAAAGAATAGGGAATAAAGGGTCACCTTGTCTAATCCCCCTCTGGCCTTTGAAATAGCCAACTAAACTGCCATTAAAAGAGATAGAATATTTGGCTTCTTTAAAGCAAGCCTCTATCCACCTTAAGAAGATACTTGGAAGACCAATGGCTTTGAGGGAAGAATAAATGAAAATGAAGAGAGTCAAATGCTTTATGAAGGTCAATTTTTAGTGCACACCTATGAGAGATTTGCTTTCTTCTATATCCTTTCACTAATTCCTGAGCAAGAAGAGTATTGTCTATTATAGATCTTCCTCTAACAAAAGCATATTGGTTGGGAGAAATAACTTCAGGCAGCAGCTTGGTCAGTCTTCTAACAAGGATTTTGGAGATGGTTTTGTACACCACCAAGCAACAGGATATAGGTCTGTAATCTTTAACAGTGCTAGGATTATGAAGCTTAGGAATCAAAGCTATTATAGTAGAATTAAAAGCAGGAAGGATGAAAGCTTCTTGGAAGAAGAATCTGATAGCTTTGATAGAATCATCTCCTACCACATACCAAGTTTTTTTTGGAAAAAAATATGAGTATATCCATCAGGGCCTGGGGATTTATCATTTCCATGACTAAAAATGGCTTCTTTGATCTCTTCATTGGTAACTGTTTTTACTATGTCTAAAGACAACTCAGTAGACAAGTCAAATTAGAGTAAACTTTTCAAGTACTGAGGGTCAGCTTGTTGTAAATTAGGATAAGCTTGTTGTAAATTAGGATAAGCAGTATCTAATTGGTTTTTGAAAAAATCAAGAACTTCTGTGGACATATCTTCAAAAAAATCCAGTCTTTTTCCTTGAGCATTAATAAGGACCCTTAAAGTGTCATTTTTGTTTTTAGTTGCTATGACTGAGTGGAAATACTTGGTACACTTTTCTCCCTCTTTTAGCCACTTAACTTTAGATTTTTGCTTCAAAAACATATTTTCAGCTTCTTCAAGGGCAGCAAGCTCATTTTGAACAGACAATTCCTTATCAAGAGGGTTGATTCCTTTAAGAGTATAAATTTATACTTGTTCCAACTCTAATTTCTTGAGGTTTACACGAGCATATAAGTTACTGTAATAGTTCTTGTTCAATGCTTACAAACAAGGCTTGAGGCGTTTAAGTTTTAGAAAAAGAGCCTGTATAGGGTTACCATGAATTGGTTGCTTCCATGAAAGGCTCACTTCTTCAAGGAAAGAATGATGATTGGACCAAAAGTTGAAGAACTTGAATGGTTTGGGACGTTTGGTGTGGGCTTCTTTGTTTAACCAAGCAAGAGTCATACAATGATTAGAGGGTCTAGGGGAAAAGAATTCAACAAAATATTTATTGAATGAATTTACCCAATGAGAATTTATTAAAACTCTATCAAGTTTCATTGCAAGGTAAGCATCATTTTGCTTGTTACTCCAAGTAAAGGAAGGGCCAAAAAATGGATGGTCCTGAAGAAAAAGGTCTTGAACCACATCTTGAAAGTCTTTCATATCAGTAGAGAGATATGGTCCAAGGAGATCAAAGTCAGAGCTTTCTTTGAAGTGAAGGAAGGAGTTAAAGTCTCCTCCTAGGATCCATGGGAGAGAGTTAAATTGAGAATTAAGATCTTTAAGATACCGACAAAGATGTCTTCTAGTAGAACCATTGTTACTACCATAAATAACAGTAATGACGAAAGGGGTATTGTTATAATGGCTTTTGACAATAATGCTTTGGTCAGAAGAATTACAGAAGATGATATCAATTCCTTTTTCCAGAGCAGCCAAACTCTTCCATTAGAGGCAAATTCATAATTAGTGAACACATTCCAGCTTCTAAATTTAGAATGTAAAATGTTGACAGATTTATCAGCCTTAATATGAGTCTCCATCAAACAAAGGATATATACTTTATAGAGTTTGGCCCTTTGGAGAACTTTTATTTGCTTTTGAGGATTGTTTAATCCTCTGATGTTCCAAAAGCAAATAATCATTGGGATAAAGAATTTGAGGCTTCCCCTTTTTTCTCTATTTGAAGGGGTTTTAACTTTAACAATTTGCTCTTTCTTTTTTGCTTTAAGTTCCTTAAGAAGGTTGGCAACTCCTGAGGCAGTTAGTCTAGTTTTCTTAACTTGAACCTCAGTACTAAGTGAATTTTCATCAACATCATTGAGGATTTTGAACCTGTTAGCTGAACCTTTAAGAGCTACTTTAGATTTAACCTTAAGGGGTCTTCCTCTACCTCTTTTAGGAATAGAGAGAGGCTTTTGGTCATTGTCAGATTGAGACACAGGGAGAATCTTCTATTGGACAGATTCACCACTGAGAGGTAAAAGAGGATTTAAAGAAATATTTCCATCACTAGCAGGGATGCTAAGAGGAACTGAAGAAGAAATGTTTCCATCACTAGCAGGGATGCTAGGAGGAACTGAAGAATCACCCTTAGAGGAAGGCTCAGTAAGGACAGGAGAATGACTAGATGAAGCTACTCATGTATAACTGTCAATAGGATCAGACTGCTCCTTAGAGTGGGAATAGTTTTACTTTTGATTATGCAGTTCTTTTTTACTATCAGAATTCATATGAACTAAATTAGCATAAGAGTCAGTCTTTTTTCTCCAAATTTTCAAGGTGGAAGGAGTTGTTGATTGTTTAGTAGGACAATTTTTATCAAAATGTCCAAATGAGACACATTTGCTACATTTACTCGGAAACCAGGGTACTTCAACATAGATAATAGTAGTTTGACCATTAGCAAATTTAACTTTGATAGTTTCTGGAATTTCTTCTTTGGCTCTTACTTCAACACAAACCTTAGCATAATGCAGTCTAGTTTTAGAAATAGTTATAGTATACATAGAAATAGGAGTTCCTAGAGCACTAGAAATGTATCTTATACCATCTTGAGTATGCAATTCTAGAGGAACATTGTAAAGATTTATCCAGATAGGCAATCGAGCTAAATCAAAGTCTAGTCTTTGCAAATTTGTCTCCCATTTCCTTAAAATTAGAGGCTTATTAAGGATGTGCCATGGTCCATTTTCAAGGAACCAGTCTCTTGAAGCATCAGGATAGAAGGAAAATACGTAGAGATTATTGCCAACGAGACTGACCTGAACTCTTGTCCCTTTCAAATAGTTGTTCCGAAGGTTATCTATGATTCTCTGTAAAGCGGAAAAATTAGGAGCTGCCCCCAACAATTGACCAACTAAGGAAGATTTCCAGTCTGCTATTCCTGCC